GGTGCTGGGCGCCCCCGTGCTGGACGTGCGGCAGCTGTCGGAGGCGGCGGCCTGGCCGTGCGACGGGGAGGGGGAGCTGGTGGCGGTGTACGCGGCGCTGTTGCGGTTCCTGCTGGCGCAGTGGGTGCGTCGCTGATGTGGCGGGGGATGTGGCGCGGGTGTTTGCTGTTGATCTGGGTGGCGGATGTTGACAGCAATCAGTGTTTTGAAGGGCAGGGTACTTTCGGCAAGCGTGATTAGCGGGCGTGGTGGTGCCAGGGAGCGGCAGCGAGGTCACTCGGTGCGCTCGGGTAGACCTGTTGGTGGAGGGGCCGCCTCGCAGCGTGGAGCGGTACTGGTAGGCTGCTGGCGGCGCATGCAAAGCTTGCTGATTGGTCTGGGCGCGCTCACCTCCAACCCCCACTGATCCACACACACACACACACACACACACACACACACAAACACACACACACACACACACACGCCCAACGCGCCCCCGCGAGCGCAGAGCCAGGTGGTGGGCGGCCACACCGCGACGCGCGTCAAGCGCTGGGCGCGCTGCCTGGACCGCAGCACCGGCGGCGGCAGCCTGGAGGGGCTCGCGGACGGGCGCTGCGGCGCGGCGTGGCAGGAGCTGCTGCGGCGCTACTGCCTGCTCACGCGCAGCGCCACGCCCGTCACGGAGGTGCGCGGGCCTGGGCTTATGGGCGGGGCCAGACAGACTCCTGGGGAGTGGCCGCTTGGGGCCGACTTGAACGTCATTACAGGTGCAGCAGTTTGAAAGGTACCCCCCTGCGTGCTGCTGCTCCTGTCGCGCGTCGTGCATCCGTCTGCTTGCGGCAGGTGCCCTGGCAGACATGTCCCTGCGCGGCCCGCGGCCACCCACTCACAATCGCGGCACGGGAACATGGATGCACACGTGCGCGCTCTGCTGCGCCCCGCAGGCGCTGCTGACCAACCGTGACTGGGCGCTGCTCAGTGATGACATTATTGCAGTGCACGCTGCCGTGGAGATTGGGCGCGGCTCGGGTGCGCTTTCGGCGGCGGGGCCCGTCCGCCGGGAAGGGGAGTCCGGGATTTCCCCTGCAGCCCTGCGCCGCGCGTGCATGCGTCCAATCAGCAGCGCTCCGCGGCCGATCGAACCGCCTCCAACGGTGCCGCCGTCCTTCGGGCCTTCTGCGCCTGCGCGCCGCGGCCGACGCCGCCTCGCGCCGCTGCTGGGCACCCCCGTCGCACCGCCGCCCGCAGTGCTCAAGCTGGGCCCTACGTTCCACGTGCGGCTGCTGGGCGCCCTGGTCAACGACGCGGCCTCTTCATTTTCGCTGAGAAACGAGGTCAACAAGAGGTGGGTGTCGGGGAGGGGTGGGGTGCGGGGGCCAAAGGGGGGGGGCGGAGCGAAACAAGGTGGTGGAGATGGGGTTGCGTGGGTGGGGGCGAAACAAGGTGACCACTGGCCTGGATCCAGGGGTCGACCCCGGATGCCTCCAGCCGAGCGGCCCCCTGCTGCTGTGGCCCGGGGTCGGGCGTCGCCTGTGCCTGATAATGAGGGGCGAGGGCGGGGCGGCTGGCTTGCAGGCTGGGCTCAAGAGCGGCTGCCTTGAAGCACTCGCGCCGGCGCGGTCCGTGAGCCGCAGCCCACGCCGCGGCGTGCGCTGCGCCGCGCCTGGCGTTGTAACGCAGCAAAAGCAGCAAACCCACCAATCGGATGCGCCGGATGTGTCTCCAGTATCCCCCAATCCAATCGACGCACCCGTCCACACACAAACCAAACCGTCTGTGTGCGTCCTGCAGGCTGGAGAGCACCATCCAGCAGCAGATCAGCCAGTATCACGCCAACGCAGAGCGCCGCAAGGCGGAGCGCGAGGCCGCGCGGCAGCGCCGCGAGGCCAAGCGCGCCCGCCAGCAGGCCGCCGCGGCGGCGGCCGCGGCGGCCTACGCAAAGGCGGCAGCGGCGGCGAAGGCGGCGGCGGCAGCAGACGGGGAGGGCGGCGGCGGCGACGGCGCGGGCACGGGCGGACAGCTTGCAGCAGGCGGGGGAGACGGGGAGGGGGACGCCTCAGAGCCGCCCGCCAAGCGCGCCCGCAGCAACGGCGGCAGCGCCGCCGACGTGCCGCCACCCGCGGCCGCAGGCGCCCTGCCTCTTGCGCCTTTGGCGGGCGGCGGCGGCAGGGGCGAGTCTGGGGACGAGTTTGAGTCTGGCGGGGAGGAGGACGAGCGCGGGGCGCGCGCGGCGCGGCTGGCGGAGCACGGGCGAGCGTCGCTGCGGTCTGAGCCGCTGGGGCAGGACCGGCTGCACCGGCGCTACTGGCTGCTGCCGGTGCGCCCGTTACTGTGCACATGCGGGCTGCCCCGATTTGGATGTGGCGTTTGACGACGGCCAGGATGGCAGGGGCGCAGCCGGCAGCTGGGCCTCTCGGCTGCTTCCCCACTCACGGCCCCTCCTGGGGTTGGCGCTGCTGTCGCCCCAGCCGCCTTCAAACGAAGCCGAGCCCCCCCCCCAAGCGCCGTGCCCTTGGAC